TAGGTAAGATCCCCTCATTGGTTATTTTGTGAACCCTTTTATGTGTTTGCAATTGTCTGCTGTAGGCATGTAGGTCATGAACTAGTGTGTGAGTGTGCACATGACACCCAGAGGTCAGCAACAGGTCTCTTCCTCTATTGCTTTCCACCCTATGTTTTGAGACAAGATCTCCTCCTGAGTCTGGCCATTGCCAATTTGACTTACCTGGTTGGCCTGCTTGCCCCTGGGGTGCTCCCGTTTCTACCTCCCGGCCCACAGCACCACATCTGTCTTTTTGCATAGGTGATGGGGATATAAACTCAGGTACTTAAGCTTGAATGGCAAACACCTAACTCACCGAGCCACCTCCCCAGCCTCTAGAGAAAACAGTGTTTACTGCAGAACAGTTGTTAAAAGTGGTGCTTTCCGAGTTAGATAAGACTTGGCCCCAGGCTGACATCCTCAGGTCAGAAGCGATGTGATTTTAGAAAAATTCGATCCTTCCATTTTCCATTATTTCATCGCTCTTAAAACTGGCACGCGGGTAATAACTCTAGCCTGGACTGTCCTACAGGTTAAATACGCTTAAACCGCAGATAAGCAGGAGCTATTGTGGCTACGTGTTCTGTGCCATAGTCTTCCAAAAATCATCAGAAATCCGTGAAGAAAATCAACTGTCCCCAACAGTGTTACGGAGGAAAAAAAAATAAGCATTTGCATTCCGCTGTCTCAGTCTCGTGAGGGCTTTGCATTATCAGCTCTTGTCAAGCCCAGGCTCAGAGTCTACCCCATTCATTTAAACAGTGAGCCAGCATCACCGCTTGCCTCCCAGCCTCCTGATGGTCCACGGCCTCTAGGGATGTTCCTTAGCGTTAAAGGGCTTACAGTAGAAATGGCAGGATTAGACATAAGCAGTATGTTGTTCTGGTGTTCTCTGGGAGTCTACCAGCCTTGGAGCTCTGAAGTCCACGACAGTTTAAGTGGGCCCTAGCGCCCACTTTCACAGGGCTCATACTTGATTCAAGATAGATCACTGCTAATAAGGGCTCACTCGACCTCATAGTGCCCTTGTTGAATTCACAAATTGAGAAAATTCTTCTTCTCTAAAAAGAGTTTGGGCACAGTTATTTGACACCGGCAAGCAAAGAAAAAAAAATAAACAGACAAGAAAACAACACGTGTGTACCAGTTCCACCTTCAAAAGATATTAAGCCTAACTCATTTAGGCTGAGCCCAGCAGGCCCAGCAGTGGCCCAAGCTCTTTATGTTCAGTCAGTGAATCATCCCAACAGGCACCTTAAGTAGATTCTCTTTTGCTCCCTATTTAGCTGGGGAAAAAACCAGAAGGACAGATAGATTGAATGATTTGTTACCCAACTGGTTAATGGTGAAATTGGGATTTAATCTGTTGCAGTGTGGCACTAGAACAAGACAGGTCAGCTGTACTTGCTCAATGGCACAAGATACATGTAATAGATTTTTATAGTTTTATTAAATATTGAACTCAGGAAAATTGAATCATAGCAGGCCGTAAATATAATTCAAACTTTTATTAAATGTCAGGATATTGGATCTTTGGATGCATTTTACTTCTGGGCAATTGTCCAGGCTTGAAGCATATATTTAAGTATTTGCTGTCGTGATTTTGCATTGATTTACAATAGCAAACCAGATTACATGGCGGGGAGGATTAAATTATAGACACACTTTTGGGAGGAGACATTTTGATCTTGGTGAGTGAGTTCAAATGCTACACTGTAATCAGCAGGCCTTTTTGGCCTGGGCGTTTCTGTTGAAAGGTTGGAGGCCCTGTTTGGACCTTCTGAAAGAGGGAGTTATTCTTTCTCTTTACCCAGGTATATTCCTATGGTAGAGAAATGATCTCGGTTTGTGAGGAGATGTATAGATGCCATCAAAATTATTTTCTGCTTAGTTTAGAAAACGTAAAATTGCTAACTATGCCAACATTTTTTTCTTTCCCCAAAGTTCTCTAGAACATTACGAGAGTGGAAAGAAAGCAAGCAACTTTTCTTCATCATACAGAAGAAATTCACTGGCTGGGCCTTCTCCAGGAAGTGTCTGCATCACCCTGGCTTCCGTCTTCCTTTCTTTTGATTGCACCCTCTATCTCTCGTGAAAGCTAGATTCCAAACGGTTCCAGTTCCATGCCCACCACAGTTATGTGCTCAACCCTGGTAGGAAGGATAGCAGCCTCTCCTTTGGAGTTAGTTTGCATCAACGCCTAGTGACATAGACACAGAAGCTAGGCCTGGGATGGTTCCCGAGCCCTTCCTGGTTGCCAGGCCTTCAGTACCCACTGCCAACCAGTAACCTGCTGCCTGACACCATAATTGTACCTTCCCTGTGTATCTTCTGCTCCTGTGTTCCTCCCGTAGGGCCAAGGCTCTATATTTGCACAAACTGGGCTACGTCTGACTGCATTACATTATTTGAGGATTGTAACCCGAAAGTGAGTCTGACTCCCCTATATCCAAGTACCAAGGGAAAGTGCCCGGGCTCCCCAATGGACACAGTCACAAGAGTGGTTCCCCAAGACAGTCTAGAGGAACTTCAGCACTCGTTATTTTAAGAGAAGCTATTTAAGCGTTACTAAGTAAAAGACCAATGCCACAATCCAGATGTGAAGTTGTTGTTCAAAAGAAAAAGGAGGCAGGGGTGGCAGGTTGAAGCAGGCTGACATGAAGGAGCAGGGAGTTCAGAGTTCAGGTGGAACAGAGCCAACATGGGGCAGGTCAGGGAGTGAATCCTGCAGGTCCTGTGATCCATTTACCAGCAGTGAACGGCACCTGTCAGCCTGGACACAGGACCTTCGGGTTTGCAGCTGGCCTGGCTTGTACTCCAGCTCCTGTGGCTGCTTCTGTCTGTCCTTTGCTGCCAAGACCCCAGCAAGCCTCCCGCCTGCTGGACTCTGCACTCTGTTTCATTTTCGGTTTAATAAAATTGATGTTGCTTGCTGCTCCCAGGACACATGGCATTGCTCTGCTTGGCTCTGGCAGCGCTTTCAACAGAAGGGGGACAGAAGAGAGGACTGCCAAGAAGCTATTTCCTTCAGCTCTGGTCCCACTGTGCCTCCTGCTTCTTGTGAGCGACAAGCCTGAAGGATTCGGAGTAGGATTTTTAAATTAAAATGTTTGATGTTTTCTATCATGGAACATAGGAGATCATCTCTAATTAAAGTCAGCAAGCGGTTATTGAACGCAGTGTTTACCAGCATCACTTACCTCCCTAACCTTGTTATAAAAGTCAGAGAAGCAAAACAATAATACAGTGAGGTTCCAGACTTCAAGGACATACTCCCAAGTCACTGCCATCTCCCCCCCCCACCCCCCGCCAGTTCTGTAGATTGAACCCAAGGCCTGGTGCATGCTAGGCAATCACTCTACCACTGAGTACAATCCTAGTTACATTATGGCCTGAAATCATCTAATGCATATGGTAATGTAGGTAACATTACAAAACATTTCAGAGCTTTCGCGCTATCGTGACTCAGATGAGGCCGACTAAAAACAAACCCACGAAGAACATTTATTTCAGTCTTACTCTCCAGCGCCGGGATCTGAAGAGATTCTAATTTTCCAGCTTTGCTGAGGGACGGCAAATCGGAGCTGTGCCTAGTTCAGACATTCAGGTGTACCCCTTGATGTTTTGGTATGTGTAGACACCATGACATGATCACCTCGGTCAAACTGGTAACATAGCTGTCACCTCACAGAGTTTCCACTTCCTGTTCTTTCTACTTGTAGTGAGACTTTTAAGAAAATTTCAAGGCTGTGACATAATATTGTCAACTGTAGTCACCACGGCAGAGGCATGGCAATAAGTGGCAGGCTTGGATGCAGAAACAGAAAGCTGAGAACTCACCTCTTGCACCCCACGCATGAAGCAGAGAGAACAAACTGGAAGGGCATGGAGTTTTTAAAACCCTTAAATCCTGTCTCCAGTGACATACTTCCTCCCACAAGGCCACACATCCTCTACCTCCTCCAAATAGCACCATCAGCTGTAGACCAAGTGTTTAAAAAGCTAAGTCCATGGAGGACATTCTCATTCAAACCACCACAGGGCTGGATCTTAGAGTCCACAAAAAGATGAGATCAAGTCATATTTACATTTCTGAGCCTGGCTTAGCAACATAATGTTCCCAGGATCATCCACAGGAGATATCCAGATGAGAGGACTACACTCTTGAGTGTGATGTGCCAACCTGGATACCCAACCCGATGCTGGACGTGTTAGTAGTGTTGGAAGTCTAGGTATATTCAGTTGTTCTACCTCCATTTAGCTTAGCACATAGACCCTTTTCTCTTGTGTAGCAGTGGGAAGATCTACCCATATTGCTGCCCCTTAAGACACAATTGTGTCAGTAAATCCTCATTGATTGCTCTTTGTGCCATCCTTGATCCATGGATATTTGGCGTTTTTCTTTTGTTTGTTTGTTTTTTGTTTGTTTGTTTCAAGGCATCTTCTATCTTCAGCAGCCAGTTCTTATATGGCATGACTGGATCTTTCTGAAATACCATGTTGTCACAGAGAACATGGTTTCTTTCTTTTTAAAAGCTTGGCAAGATTTCAGTGCTTTGTATAGGGTCCCCCCCTCTCTTTCTGTATGCGTATATGTGTGTGTGTTCTTAAGGATCACCTAAGTACTGTGCATGTAGACAGGCCCTCTACCAATGAACTATAACCCTATCTCTAGGATGCATTTTTAAAATAATCTACCTTTAAGTTGGACACAGCAGTACACATCTGTAATGTGAGCATTCAGAAGGCTGCAAAGGAGTTCAAGGTCAGCCTGGGCTGTGTGGTGAGACTCGTCTCAAGAAAACAAAAGCAAAGAGTTCTGTGGTAGCTTGGCCCCCAGAATCTCATAGGGAGGGGCACTATTAGGAAGTGTGGTTTTGTTGGAGTGGGTGTGACCTTGTTGGAGGAAGTGTGTCACTGTGGGGGTGGGCTGTGAGGTTTCCTGTGTTCACCATACCACCCTGTGTCTCAGTTGACTTCGAACGTTGTCTTTGCGATGTAGGACTCTGAGCTACTCCTCCAGCATCACAGCTGCCTGCCTGCAGCCATGCTCCCTGCCATGATGATAATGGTCTGAACCTCTGAAACTGTAGGTGAGCCACCCCAATTAAATGTTTTTCATATAAGAGTTGCCATGTTTGCTGGGCAGTGGTGGCACATGCCTTTAATCCCAGCACTCATCAGGTAGAGGCAAGCAGAGCTCTGTGAGTTTGAAGTCAGCTTGGTCTACAAAGAGTTCCAGGACAGCCAGGGCTACATGGAGAAACTCTGTCTCGAAATACCCGACCCCCTAAAAAAAATTGCTGTGGTAAAGGTGTCTCTTCAGGGCAATGGAAACCTTAACTAAGGCAAGTTCTAACTTTAACTTTCCATGAATCCTTGAAATTCTGACTAGTAATAAAATCTCCCTCTCGCTCCCTCTCTCTCTTACACACACACACACACACACACAGACACACAGACACAAATACACACACACACACACACACACACACACACACACACACACTTCTGCTCCACCAAATCAGATTAAACATATACAGTTAGCAAATAAATAGCTAGCGACTGGCTGGCTGATTAACCCACATATTGTTGGGATTGTTGACTCAAAACATAGAAAAATGACCTCAGACGAGGTGAAAGATTTAACATCATTTATTCTCTCCTACCAAGAGTCTCTATTTAATTTTCACATCCCCATGTCTGGTGTTCTTTGATGAAGTGTATAGTCTGCTCTTTAAAACTTCCCTGCTGGTAAAAGACATGCATTTATTTTTAAATACATTCATAATTTCTGGTCTATAGGAATAAGCTCTGCCGCTGGGAAAGATGTGTAGTGCATGGGCACTCTTCGCGAAGGTAAACACACAGAGGCATTCTGCTCTCTGTTAATTAATGATAGTGGTGCCAAGCTTTTATAGGAAACCAATTTTGCTTCTGAACACCAGGGAGATCTTTGAGCCTAAGAAATGTTTCAATTTAGGAAAACCATAGCTCAGCCAAAAGTGCAAATGTGGCAGGTGACTTATGGTTGGTCCAGAAATTCGGAGGCATTAAATGTCGGCCCATGAATGGTCAGTAAGTACAAATGGGCCCTCGAAAGTATGTTCTTGAAACTACAGACAATTCTGAAAGTTGGAATTTGTTCCAGCATTTTCCCAGGAGTTGGAGTTGAGATGCATGGGCTGGGACTGTGAAAACGGAGAGAGACTGAAGCTGTGAACTGCACACCAGGGTAGAGCCTCGCCTTGGGCATGCAAGGGCCTCGCTTGGCTGGCGAGAGATCAATGCTCTCTGTCCCCAGTGGGGACTAGCCTGATGTTTCGGCAGAGTGGAAGTTTAGGTGACCTCTTGTTTTCATTCATTAGGGGGTTATTTATGAAACTCAGTCACTGTGGCATGACCTCTTTGGGATATTTAAAGCAACCCTAGGCTGATGTTCTTGGTAGTTATTTTTTTTTTTGTACATGCAGATGTCACTCGTCAGCAAGAATGTGTGGTTTGATGAGGTGAGAGGGGAAAAGACATGAACGCTCACTAGAATAACACTCTCCAATAGCAGCCTATTCCAGCGCTCCTCTCAGCTCTACACCAGTTGTGGCCTAGGACTGCTCCACTGTGCAGAGACATGGCTGATGACCAAAGAATAGTAGAAGTCAACAAAGTTACTCAAAGTGAAGACTATATCTACTGAGCGAATACTTGACACCAATTTTGCATAAATAAGCCGATGTCCATACATGTACATACGCAATGAGGTTAATTACAACATCACATATAAGAATTACAAATTGGAAGGCTGGAATGTAGTTCATTTGGTAGGGTGCTTGCCTGGCATGCAAAACACCCTCGATTCGATCCCCAGCACCACCCACATTCGTCTGAGGCTGTGGCACAAGCCTGTGATTCCAGCATTCGGAGGTGAAGGCGGGAGGGCCAGATGTTCAATGTCATCCTCAGCTGTATCCAGTTTGAAGCCAACCCTAGAGGCATGAGACTCTGCTTCAAAAATAATTACAAGTTGGAAATGGCTTAAGAGGGCAAGTACAAACAGGGCTGCATTTCTACAGTGGAGTATTATGTAACTGTGACAAAAGCCGGCAGCTTTATAAGCGTGAAGACGTGCACCACAAGTATATTCTAATATGTACACATACATACTGCTTATGTATTTTCAAGCTGTGGGGACAACACTGGGGAAGGGGAGAGGGCCTTCCCTTGATCTTGGGGTATTTCTGCATTAATGCCAAAGTTGCAATTAACATGGACTATTCCCGTAGCTACATATTTGAAAAAGTAGTTTAAATAACTTAAAAGTGTTTCCAACAAGTTTCTCAGAGTAAGCCTGGGACTGCACAGTAGCCGAAAAGAACAAATCTGTAATGCCAGGGTGTTTCTCTGGTGGCTTGAAGCTATCAGGGCAGTATTTTGTCGGAGTGTAATTCTAGTGTGTGCGCTAGTGTCTGAGATGGGGTGGGACTGTGAGTCTAAGTCAGTGGTTCTCAACTGTCCTGATACTGGTCTCTGACCACCAAAGGGGTCATAATCCACAGATTGAGAAGCGCTGGTCTAAGTGCCCACTGGCACCAGCCCTGGGTCTATCAGTTTAATGATATCAGTGCCAATATATTGTCTCTCCTTTTCAGAGTTTACAAAGAACTTTCCATGTTTTTAGCAAGACAAGAAACCTGTGAGGGGAATCCATTGTCCCCATTTTCAGGGAAGTAATTGAGGCTTAGGGGAGCTAGTTTATATGCTCCAGTGACACGCACAGTTAGGGTAGAACTGAGCAAGCGCTCAGACAGGGAATCAATTCCCTGTGATGCCATTAATCCCAGGTAAATCAGTGGTTTTATAGGTCTCAGGTTCTTCAGCTGTAAGACAGGCTAGCAGCAATTTCCTAAGCATGAGAGTTTAGCACCATTTTTTTAAAAAAGTACGCCCTCCTTACCCACCCCTTTCCCAACTTTAACCCCGCCCCCCTGCCCCAGCATGCATGTGTTCGTGGTCGCGTGGAAGGAAAAGGCTCTGTGTTGTGAAGCGACTTCAAGAACTGAGTCTATTCTTGCAGAACAGCTGGAAAGAGCCAGAGAGGACATGTCACCTCATCCCTGTCACCCTTGCCAGCCCTGTCACCCTGAAGTGGTTCTTCTCCCTGGGTGGTACAGGTGGGAAACTCTGGAGGTCCGAGACGGCGAGGGAGAGCCGCTTTCTCCTGACCACGATCATTTAGCCTCTTACGTAAGGGCTCTGTTTGACCGTAGAGTAGAAAGAAGGTTCTGTGCCCTTCTAGCTGGTAGATGGTGTCTCTAAGTAAACATGCTAAATGATCAGGCTTGCCGTGTCATCGGCAATGGGTCAGAGCAAAACAAGTCATCCTGCCTTATGACCCAACCGCCACCTTACTTTTTATTATTTTGCTTATCTTCATATGTGTAAATGATGCATTGTGCACACGTGTGTGGGTGGTGGTATGCGCCAGATAACATTGGTGGTCAGAGGACAACTTTGAGTATCAATCCTTGCTTCCACCTTCCACCTTTCTTGAGATGGGTCTGCTGTGTGAGCTAAGTCAGCTAGCCTGTGAGCTTCTGGCAGTTCTCCTGTCTGCTCGCCTCGCTGTAGGGGTGCTGTCTAGCTTTACCTGGGTTCTGGGGAATCCCGGGTCCTCACACTTGTGCGGCAAACACTTTATCTACTTAGTCATCTCCCCAGTCCCCACAATTGCCACTTTATTAATAACATCTTCTAAGCAACTAAATCTGAATCCCGGGCTCGTCAACAAGGCCTCACAAGCCTAGGGCCACAGTGCTTTAAGTAAGTAAGTAAAGTTTTTATTAGCATCCTGATAAACTGTGGAAAATAAACCAGAAGATGACTTCCACTGTAAAGGAGACTTGTACCTCATGGATCCTGAAAGGAGGAGGCGGGAACAGTCCAGGGGGGTCCCATGGAGACATACACTCCAGTTGGAAAGCTGAAGAAGGAAGCAAAGGAAATATGGGGCAGAGTCTTCCCTGTAGGTTCCCTTCAGAAGGAATGAACCTAAGTGGGGGACAGCCAATTTGAACCTTCTAGAAGGTTCTGCTTAGAGAATGTTACCAGTTCATAGGCATAGTACATCTCAGGGGCATATACTCTCTCTTTTAGAAGGGTCCAAGCCAATCCTCAAAAACTTAGTTAATTGACTAATTCATTTGGTTATTGCGTTCCTGTGTGTTTTGTGGTATGGCGGCATATGTGCATGGAGGTCAGAGAACAACTTTCAAGTGTCAGTCAACCCTTTCTTCAACCACGTGGGTCCTGGGGAGTGAACCTGGGCCATGCACTTGGCAGTACCTTCTCCGGCATCTGCTGAGCCCTCTCATTGTTTAGCTGGAACTAACTCCTTCTTCACGGCTCATTCACTACTACAGAGGCACTCTCTCACAGACTGTCCATCAGGCCTCGCCAGGTGGTGGGGTTTGGTCAGGAGCACAACTGCCCACACGTGATGCATGGACTTTTGTCTTGTCATAGCATCCTTAATGACAGAAGCCCCAGGTCTAGAGCCCAGAGACTGCTGTGCAGGCATAGTTCACAGGGAGCTTCTGCCTCCCACTATATTCTTAGCACCTTCCATTCATCCCTGTGATCAGAATACTGACATCTTTGATTTCCCCTCCCTCCCTCCCTCCTTCCCTCCCTCCCTCTCTCCTTCTCTCCCTCCCTTCCTCCCTCCCTCCCTCTCTCCTTCCCTCCCTCCTGTCTTCACCTTTCCCTTCCTTTCTTCTTTCCTTTTGTTGATGTTTGGAGTCTTTCTATCTAGTCTTCCACATTCCTTTGGATTTATTTACTCACTCCCTTTTATTTCTACCTGTTACCTCCATGTCCTTCCTTCCCCCTCTACAGTACAGTTGCTCACTCAGTGTTGATCTTCCTGCATATATATATATAACTCTCAAAAGACTTTGAGTCATTTCGTGGCGTCCATAAGCGAAAGCCAAAGGCAACGTCTGTGGTCTTGGCAACGTGGGTTCAGGTAACCAAGGCAATTGCTACACATGCTTTGTTCTGTAAATGTCAGGTAAAACTCTATTCTGATAGCATCCCA